TACATGACAGCACCGATGACAGCGATGGTGGGTGGTGATGGTGGTGGTGGTGATGCTGAGTCGCACCTTATCCAATGTACAGTACACACATTCAAGATTACGTCCCATCGATATTTTCATTTTTAAAAATGTTCCCCAAGCTATGGTTTGATTGATGATGGTTGTTATGATGATGGCGGTGGTGGTGATGATGATTCTCGCGGTGACCACGATGGTGATGGTCACTGCGATGATAATGGTCATCGTGATGGTGGTGATGATATTTATTGGTGGTGATTATATGTATTGATGGTGATGATATTGATGGTGATGATAATGATAATGGTGGTGATGATAATGATAATGGTGGTGATGATATTGATGGTGGTGATGATGGTGTGTGATGATATTGATGGTGATGATGATATTGATGGTGATGATGATATTGATGGTGATGATGATATTGACGGTGATGATGATATTGACGGTGATGATATTGACGGTGATGATATTGATGGTGATATTGATGGTGATGATATTGATGGTGATGATATTGATGGTGATGATAATGGTGAGGATGACAATGGCGGTGATGAGGATGCTGGCGGTGACTCTGGCGATAACGCCACACTTACGCATACCGACTACACACGCATTGTACGGCACTTAACACAAGCAAGTACACATGGCCTGTATGTATACGACATCCAGTGTTACGATGTCGACGTTATACGCGTTTGCATGAAGATGTTGCAATGTCTCTATCTCGCTCTCTCTCTCTTTCTTTTGAGTTCACAATTCGGCACGTGAAGGTGACATTGGGTGGTGATGCCGATGGCAGTACCGCTTTGTGCCCACCACCTATGGCATTAAAACAAAAGTGTGCACACACGTCCACGACACGACACAGATGATGATGATGCTATGATATACTACCGCCGTATCCTTGGCTGAAACATAATGCCCTTACAGTTGACAGTAATAATTCATGCTGATGATGACGGCGGTGGCGGTAAAGATGATGATGTACTGTAGATTGTAAGACGTGCAACTGTTTAAGACGCGCATCCCGATTACAGTATAACGATGTCCACACACACAAATGTCTCTCACACACACACACATTTGAGAGAGAAGAAAAAACACTATAGATCTGGCTACATTGTTTTGTTTTGTCCGGGAAACGGACATGAATTCAGAAAGCAATTGCCGATGTTGAACACGTGAAACAACAACAACAACAGATTCTAGAACTGACACCCATCCTCCCCCCCCGCTTTGAGTGGTCACGTTGCCTCCGGGAGAGACAGTAGCGTGCATGCCTGTACGCTACTGTACCGTAAATGCGTGTAAGGATTTCCATTAGCCGTAGTACGATATACGACTATCCTGGTCTGCGTGCGTGTGTACCTTTAACGTCAACTTAATATCCCCTGACTCCCGGCCTACATTATGTAGTCGGTGTTGTAGATGTTGTTTTTTATACTTTAGGGCATGTTCCCACTGTACGTAGTTTTCGGATGATGCCGATGATAGTTTAGTCATGATACCACTTTGCATGCGGCACGATGCTTTAGGTATGATGCTGTGGCCCACAACTGATGATGCTGTAGACATGCCACTCGAGTACACAGCTGATGATGATACTGCTTGAGGTATGATGCCGCTGTATGTAGTCAACATATTGATGATGTAGCTATGACACTGCAGTACACAACTGATGGTGATGATAGCGTAGCCATGATACTCAAGCACACCGCTGATGATATTTGTGATAGGATGCCACTCTATATGATGATGTAGCTATGACACTGCAGTACACAACTGATGGCGATGATAACGTAGTCATGATACTCAAGCACACCGCTGATTATGATACATGAGGTATGATGTCACTGTATGTAGCAAACACGATGCTGAAGTTATATCAACTGAGATTACTGCAGTACATAACCGCTGATAACGCTGCGGTAGACATACTTTAGTACACAGCTGCTGCTGATAATACTTTTGGGAATGATGCCACTGCAGTAAGACAATGGTGATGAAGCTGTAGGTACGAGCCTACTGTAGTACATTGCTTTATACTACACACATGATGATGATGCTCCAGATGTCACTACTGCAGTACACGTGCTAGCAATGATGGCAATGATGTTGATACTATAAAGTATACTATAGTAATACACACGTGATGATGATGATCCTACTATAGCTATGATACCACCACCATAGTAAACTGATGATCATGGTGATGCTGATGATTATACAGTACTGGACTCAAGTACACACAGAGACGATACTATAGGCATGGTATGGTGTCGTAGCTGATGATGGTGCTGCTCGTGACAATAGCGATGCTGATGATTGAGTGACATTGATGATGTTGACAATGATAACGGTGATACTATTAGCGATAATGACCCTTTTGATAGTGACACACGCTGCAAATAATGATAGTGATGACGGTAATAACGGCGATGATGACAATAAGTCGTGTTGATGATGATACTATTGATGATTTCAATTTAAAGCTTTCGTGACTGCAAGGATTCATCTTCTTTGGTTCTTTCGGTAAAGTCACGTAGAATGAGAATAAAATAACAAATTGATAAAATAAAATAACACAATAATATTCTCACGACGTTTCGGCCACAACACAAGCGGCCTTCATCAGGTGAAGGGGACGAGACTGTCTGGAGGACAGCGCTGGAGTCTCGTCCCCTTCACCTGATGAAGGCCGCTTGTGTTGTGGCCGAAACGTCGTGAGAATATTATTGTGTTATTTTATTTTATCAATTTATTATTTCATTCTCATTCTACGTGACTTTACCGAAAGAACCAAAGAAGACTATTTATGATGTCCATGCCGATACTGGCTGATGATGATACCGACACGAAAATTACTGCTCGCAACGGTGATGCTGATGATACTATTGATGATGAGAGTGATGGTGGTGGTACTGATGATGATGCTGATTACACGATTGCTGATGAAGATGATGACGCTGCTGCTGCTGCTGATAATGATGAATCACTCTGCTGCCCCGACTGGGACAGTGATGGCGTTTACGACGCTAATCACGATACTATTGGTGGTGATGATTCTGCTGTTGATGAACTATTTTAATGACTAAATAAGAGCAACCATGGTTCTGCTGATGATACTGCAGCTGATGAGGATCACGATGTTGCCCATGCTGATGATGCTGCTGATAATGCCACTCTACTACTGATAATTGCTGATAGATGCTAATAACAATGACGATGATAATGCTGCTGCTGTTACTTCCAGAAATTCTTATGCTTCCGATGATGTTGCTGCTACTACCGACACTGCTACTGCTGATGACAATATTGCAACTGCTGCTGATACTACTGCTGCTGATGTTGTTGCTACTACCGACACTGCTACTGCTGATGACACTATTGCTACTACTGCTGATATTACTGCTGCTGATGTTGTTGCTACTACCGACACCGCTATTGCTGCTGATACTACTGCCGCTGATGTTGTTGCTACTACCGACACTGCTACTGCTGATTGCACTATTGTTACTGCTGCTACTGCTGCTGAAACTACTGCTGCTGATGTTGCTACTACCGCCACCGCTACTGCTGATGTTGCTGCTACCGACACTGCTACTGCTGATGATACTATTGTTACTGCTGCTACTACTGACACTGCTACTGCTGATGGCACTATTGTTACTGCTGCTACTACTGACACGCTACTGCTGATGACACTATTGTTACTGCTGCTACTACTGACACTGCTACAGCTGATGGCACAATTGTTACTGCTGCTACTACTGACACTGCTACTGCTGATGGCACTATTGTTACTGCTGCTACTACTGACACGCTACTGCTGATGGCACTATTGTTACTGCTGCTACTGACAATGCTACTGCTGATGGCACTATTGTTACTGCTGCTACTACTGACACTGCTACTGCTGATGACACTATTGTTACTGCTGCTACTACTGACACTGCTACTGCTGATGACACTATTGTTACTGCTGCTACTGACACTGCTACTGCTGATGGCACTATTGTTACTACTGCTACTACTGACACTGCTACTGCTGATACTATTGTTACTGCTGCTACTACTGACACTGCTACTGCTGATGGCACTATTGTTACTGCTGCTACAACTGACACGCTACTGCTGATGACACTATTGTTACTGCTGCTACTACTGACACTGCTGATGGCACTATTGTTACTGCTGATACTACTGACACTGCTACTGCTGATGGCACTATTGTTACTGCTGCTACTACTGACACTGCTACTGCTGATGACACTATTGTTACTGCTGCTACTGACACTGCTACTGCTGATGGCACTATTGTTACTGCTGCTACTACTGACACGCTACTGCTGATGACACTATTGTTACTGCTGTTACTACTGACACTGCTACTGCTGATGGCACTATTGTTACTGCTGCTTCTGACACTACTACTGCTGATGGCACTATTGTTACTGCTGCTACTACTGACACTGCTACTGCTGATGACACTATTGTTACTGCTGCTACTAATGACACTGCTACTGCTGATGACACTATTGTTACTGCTGCTACTACTGACACTGCTACTGCTGATGGCACTATTGTTACTGCTGCTACTACTGACACTGCTACTGCTGATGGCACTATTGTTACTGCTGCTACTACTGACACTGCTACTGCTGCTGATACTATTGTTACTGCTGCTACTACTGACACTGATACTGCTGACACTATTGTTACTGCTGCTACCACTGACAGTGCTACTGCTGCCGATACTATTGTGACTGCTGCTACTACTGACACTGCTACTGCTGCTGATACTATTATTACTGCTGCTACTACTGACACGCTACTGCTGATGACACTATTGTTACTGCTGCAACTACCGACACTGCTACTGCTGCTGATACTGTTGCTGCTGCTGCTCATGTTAGTCTTACACATGTTTAGACACAGGGACACCCCACCACCACCACACATCCTCCCATCAAACTCACAGTAGATCCGTAGGCGCTCCACTCAAAAGCGCCGAGGCCGCACATGAACGCGGTCGTAGTCGGCGACGATGCTGCTGCTGATGTTGTTGTTGTTGCTGATGTTGTTGTTGCTGCTGCAGCTGATGACGACGACGAGACGCTCACCAAGACGATAACGACGAGGTGGGTCTACGATCGCCAGACGATTTGACACCCAGCCGGTAACGTCCTCGGACCTCTTCAGGTTAACAAGAGCTGACATTCATCTACAAGCAGCCGCCGCCACCACCTCCTCCTCGTCGTCGTCTTCCCTCCTCGTCTTCCCCAACCTTCCTCTTGTTGTTCTATATTTTTCCGCTCTCTCCTATCCAAGTGTCCGACGAGAATTGGTCGTAGAATTTTTTGTTGTTAAAAAGCCCGAGGTGGAGGGCGACTGCGATGACGGACGGCGATGTTGCAGCTTCTTCTACTCGCTCGCTTCTTTGTGATGCGATGTTGATGTTGTTGTTGGCGACGACGACGTTGTTGTTGTTGTTGATGTTGAGGTTTTTCTTTTTTGGGGAACACGTTGCGTTTGCTGTAGCAACAGGAAGTTTGCTGTCGGAGCAGCGGTTGTAGCCCAAGCAAGCAGCAAGATGTAAATCAGAGGAAAGTGATTGGTAAAAGTGGGCGGCTGGGTCTCGCCGCCGAGTTTTGTTTTAAAAAAAAAAAGAGACACCCGAAGCTAATAACTAATCACATAAAAATAGATCGCGACTCCTGGACAGCCGCTTGCGTAAGTAATAAAGAAAGCAATTAAAACCAAAAGAGTCCAATTGACGATGACCCTGGCGGTGGTGAGGCCGGCGAGCCGAGGGATGGAGAAGTGAGTTGAGGCGACGGTGGCGATGTTGCTTGGCTAGAATAAGAAGATGAAGCTGATGATGATGATGGTGGTAGCGACTAACTGGAGTGAAGCCACCGCTCGCTCGCTCCCGCCCGCTAATTAACGCCTCTTTTGCTTTAATTTCCTCGCTTACCCCTTCCCCCCCCCACCCCACACACACACACACACCTCCACACACACACACACAACTGCTTCAGCTACGGCTGCTGAACGTGAAGGTGTGAGCAGCAGAAATAGTAGCAGCAGCAGTAGCGGCGGCGGCAGCAGCAGCAGCAGCAACAGCGGCGGCAGCTTGGAAGCTGCTCCAACAAAAAAAATGGCTGAGTGATGCGTCCGCGCATGCGCACACGGAGCAAACCCCCCCCCCCCCTCGTCACCACCACCCGCCCTCGCCACACCAACCCCGCTGCACGCCGGGAAAAGGCAATTAACGGCCTCGTTAATTATTCATGCGGCGCTCGTGAATATTCATGACGCGCGGGGAGGGGGGGCGTGTCGTGAATATTCATGAGTGTCGTCACACATCCACACGCCCACTTTTGCTTCAGCCACCACCCCCCCACTTACCCACCCTACCACTGATTGCTCGAGTGGCTGACCAATCAGCGCGCGACGTAGGCGGGCTTTGGCTACGCCCATTCGGAACCCCTTTCCCCCCCCCCACCTCTTCCGCCCCACCCCCACCCACCCCTCCCCCCTCCTTGCTAAGTGCCGCGATTTGTTGATTGCGGCACGCTGTATCGTTATCATCGTCAGCCGTCATTTATCCACTGCTGGATGATGCAATCGATTCCCCCCCCCCACCCACCACCACCCAATCAGTCGCCGGCTGTCACGTTCCTTCCGCTGTCAATAACGAGCCATCATCTCACGGCCTTGAGACGCAGCCGCTGTATAATTTGTACAGGCGTTCTTCACTCCGTGACCGAATCATTTGAAGAAGGAAACAAAAAAAAAACAACGATTTCGGATTATGGATTATGCCCTGCGATCATTTTGTATTCGCTTTTAATCACAGGTGCCCGGTTTTATTGGAATTTCTAGAGCGGTCGTGTGCCATCGTTGTTTCTCCAGGTTCCCGTTTCGCCAGTACTTTGTGAGTGCAGTTTAACACGTGGCAGGCTTCAGCGAACAATATCATCCATAATAGAGGGGTTTGTTTGGGGTTAGGGGCCGTCCATATATGACGTCACGCGATTTGGGACGATTTTTGACACCCCCCCCCCCCCCATTCGTCACACGGCGTCACAAAAAGTCAGACCCCCCTCCCCTGAAATATGACGTCACAAAGCTCTACCCCCCCCCCCCCAAAACCATATTTCCATTTAAAAAAATATAAAAAATGCTTCAAATCGCTTTAAACTATTGTCATTGTAGCGCGTATTTAATGTGGCGCTGCACTCTGATGTTCTAGGAGAAAACATTTATTAAAAAGTCTATTTAATTAAGTAGAACGTGTTGTCTATATTAACTTATTGTTGCGCATTTTGATGTGACGTCACATTTGTCAACCCCCCCCCCTTGGTGCGTGACGTCATTTATGGACGGCCCCTTGTCACGTAAACAGAACATGCTGGTTCTAATTACTGGCGAAACGTCGTACTCATATTGTAAATGTTGTGGCTTGTCTCTCCAACACACCGGTGTGCTGTACTAGTGACGAATTGGCCACGTTCTGTTTTACGTGACAACCCTTACTAGTTGGCTGTGTCGGGTGGTGGCGGGGTTTTAACGACTTGCGAGTGCAGCTGCACTCTGCACACAATCGCACCCAGGCCTCACCCGCGCTGCACCTCTTCTTCACGGCCGACTCACTCGACGTCGCTGCTAAGCTCCGACTTGCACCTGCTAGTCTCCAGCCCACGTGCTAGTCTCCAGCCCACGTGTTAGTCTCTAGCCCATTGTTAGTCACCTAGCCACGTGCTAGTCTCCACCCGCGTGTTAGTCTCTAGCCCACGTATTAGTCTCTAGCCCACGTGTTATACTCTAGCCCACGTGTTAGTCTCTAGCCCACGTGCTAGTCTCCAGCCCACGTGTTAGTCTCTAGCCACGTGTTAGTCTCTAGCCCACGTGTTATTCTCTAGCCCACGTGCTAGTCTCTAGCCACGTGTTAGTCTCTAGCCCACGTGCTAGTCTCTAGCCACGTGTTATACTCTAGCCCACGTGCTAGTCTCTAGCCCACGTGTTAGTCTCCAGCCCACGTGTTAGTCTCCAGCCCACGTGTTAGTCTCTAGCCACGTGTTAGTCTCTAGCCCACGTGTTATACTCTAGCCCACGTGCTAGTCTCTAGCCCACGTGTTAGTCTCTAGCCCACGTGCTAGTCTCCAGCCCACGTGTTAGTCTCCAGCCCACGTGCTAGTTTCTAGCCACGTGTTAGTCTCTAGCCCACGTGCTAGTCTCCAGCCCACGTGTCCATTCTTCCTCTCGCGTGTCTCTCGGCGTCACGCTCAACGCGTGCGCCGCGCTCCCTCCGATGCATCTTCCTTTCACATTTTTGCTCCTCTTACAACAGCGCCTTAAGTATGGAGGTTAGAGGTGGGTACAGGGATGGGGGCTTGATGGATTGATTGTCGCGCCTCTGGGTGCATTCCATCAATTGATTGATTGGGTATTTTATTGAACGACTCTTAATTGAGACACGCCGAACGTATGCCTCTATTGCCCCTTAGCGTTGCACTCTGGAACTAAGCGCCGCGAACTCCCAAAACCCACCCCGTACAAGACTGTGGGTGGCGTTCGATCCTCGGGAGGGGATCGGTGGTTGTATAGGCGCTGTCACTCGGTATCACGTGTAATGTACCCCTCTCCCCACCCACACCGTCTGTGCTGTCGACGCCGTGGTACGAGACGAGATACGGTGACGATGAGATGTTAACTCCCTCGCCTGGTATACAGGAGGTCTTGGGTTAAATGCCGAACCTGACGATGCCTGCTGCTGTATATTTGGAGTTTGCGTGTCTCTCTCATTATCATCAGGGTGGCTAGGATATGTTAACTCCCTCGCCTGGCATACAGGAGGTCTTGGGTTAAATGCCGAACCTGACGATGCCTGCTGCTGTATATTTGGAGTTTGCGTGTCTCTCTCTCATCATCATCAGGGTGGCTATGAGATGTTAACTCCCTCGCCTGGTATACAGGAGGTCGTGGGTTCGATGCCGAACCTGACGACGCCTGCTGCTGTATATTTGGAGTTTGCGTGTCTCTCTCTCATCATCATCAGGGTGGCTATAAGATGTTAACTCCATCGCCTTGTATACAGGAGGTCTTGGGTTAAATGCCGAACCTGACGATGCCTGCTGCTGTATATTTGGAGTTTGCGTGTCTCTCTCATCATCATCAGGGTGGCTAGGATATGTTAACTCTCTCGCCTTGTATACAGGAGGTCTTGGGTTAAATGCCGAACCTGACGATGCCTGCTGTATATTTGGAGTTTACGTGTCTCTCTCATCATCAGGGTGGCTAGGAGATGTTAACTCCCTTGCCTTGTATACAGGAGGTCTTGGGTTAAATGCCGAACCTGACGATGCCTGCTGCTGTATATTTGGAGTTTACGTGTCTCTTTCATCATCATCAGGGTGGCTAGGATATGTTAACTCTCTCGCTTTGTATACAGGAGGTCTTGGGTTAAATGCCGAACCTGACGATGCCTGCTGTATATTTGGAGTTTACGTGTCTCTCTCATCATCATCACGGTGGCTAGGAGATGATAACTCCCCCGCCTTGTATACAGGAGGTCTTGGATTAAATGCCGAACCTGACGATGCCTGCTGCTGTATATTTGGAGTTTGCGTGTCTCTCTGTCCCCGTGGTCGCGTGGATTTTTCTCCGGGTCCCTCCGGTTTTTCCCCTTCCACATTTCGAATCAACATCGCTCGGTTCGAATATTTGGCTGCTATACACTTCCACGTGACGACGAAAGGCTACTTCGATGAGCTCTCATTTGTGGCCAGATCGCTTCTGAAAAAGAGCTACGCAACTCAGTGGGCCTTACCTGGTGAAGTAAATAGTTGAGTTTCAATTTAGTTTACCGCATCAATTGAGGGCAAACAACACATTCCACAATTTTTCACAGCTGCGATTTGGCCCATGTGAGTGCTGAAACATGTGTACACATGTAACGTGACGTGCGCTTGTCGTACAATGGTGACTCGGGGCTCAGGCAATCAACTCGCGGCGCTTGGATTTAAAGGGGACCGGGGTTTGTTTTGTTGTTTAAAAGACGCGTGTAAATATTGACGTCATGTCAATTGACTTATTGATCGACAGGCCTTCACTTTTAACCGGGGCGACGCACGATTGAGATTAATTTGTCAAAGTCGAGATTTCGCGTGCGAGCCATACGTTCGCTCGGCTCTCGATGTCAACCGACCAGAATGCATCACGAGCGAAGATTGACGGCTCGGCAATAGACGGCATCGATCGAAGTCCCCGAATGTGACCAGGTGAGCTGTCGAGACGTGGCCGCGCTCTTCATCGCGTGCCTGGCCGCTGACGCGTCGCGCGGCTTCAAGGGGCACGCGGCGACCATGATCAATCCACCGCTGGATGAAAGATTTCCCAAAGCCGTCGCCGGAGCCGTCCATAGGGTGATAGGCGAATCGATGGGCGGTAGCCTGAGGCCCCGCGCTTTGGGGGGGGGGGGCGCATTTCGACGCCACGGTGTGAGGTGTAATACTTTGGGTTAAGTTTGAAGGGGTCGGGGGGGGGATAGCCCACACGGTGGGGTCTGCCCCGTGCTCCGCTACCCCCCCCCCCCCAACCTATGGACGGCCCTACCTGTGATTATACCTCGCTGATGATCAAATCCAGCTCCCAGTTTCACACGAGATGGATTCATCGCTCCATCTCCGCGTTGGCCCGGTTCTAGCCGGACGTCTCTTTGGTTTTTTTCTCCCTTTTTTTGTTGTTGCTGCCTATCCGTACTACAGAGTTCACATTGACATTTGTGACGCTTTCCAAGTCAGCTTGAACGCACACACGCACGCGTGGGCTACGTCCGTGCGTGTCTCTAACACAGGGTTCGGTCATGAGAACTATCGTCAAAGCCGATCCGATATGAATTCAACTTTAGCAAGAGGTCGTGCTGCCGTGAAGGGGCTTACATGAGGGCGAGTAGGGGGTGGGATCGGTCAAACTCGACGTTACCATTGCCACGAAATCGTTCCGAGGACACACAAGACGTGCTGGAAAGCGTTTTTGCAGAATCCATGCATGTGCTTGATTTTTCTTCCTTGGCTTTTCAGAAATAATGCGACGAGACTCCTCCGTCCCCTTTGGTTCTTTCGGCAAAGTCACGTGGGTATTAAAATAAATCGCGACGTTTCGGGCGCAGCACCACCTGATGACGGACGCT